CAACCCTGCTAAAAGTGCCAGTACGTGCGCTCATTGGCGCCCCTTCAGCTGGTGGCGCCCTAGGCGACCGCCTAGCTCGCCTATGCCTAGAAATGGCCCTGCTTGTGAGTATCCCTACATGACCCTAGTTACCTGTAGTTGGCCTGGCCGTGCGTCACTCAGAAAACAACAGACCAATCAGAAGAGAGGCTCATGAATATTAGTTAGACAGGCCAAAATCGACCTGTTCTTTGCAGAGCTTCTGAGAGAGGAGCTGTAAAAATATATTGAGATGGTTTTTGGTACTTATACCACAAACATATATTCTTAAGGACATCAAGACTTAAAAAAAACTCCAGAAATGTGTAAAATATGTGACCTTTAAGATTTCTTTCGTGTCTTGTAACTGTGTGCAACATCATCACAAATTAGCCGTTGTTCTCCCCCCATATTTTCCCACTTTATTCTAAACAGTACTGAGCTGTTTAGTCTATGCTTAAACCAATTTAAATTGACTAGATTCATACTAAATGCCACTAATGCAAAAAAAAGTGTCCCAGCAACCTCAATATTAGTAATATTAATGGTACTACAACATCATATATTTTACAAAAAAAATCTTGTTTGGCGTCAGTGATACACACACACACACACACACACACACACACACACACACACACTTTTTGCATTATTACACTTTTAGATAAACATCATTTACTATTTTTAATTTTTTTTTTCCCCTCGCAAGGACCGCAGGCCGGGCCCCACAATGTCAAAAATTTTGGGTTTTACTATCCTTGTGGGGACAGTAGCATAAACAAGTACACACACACACAAACACAGACACACACACACATATATGTGAAAATTGTGAAAACATTTTTTTTTAAATAAAATTACAAATTTTAAATAAATGCTGTTCAGGGTCACTTTATGTGCTTGTTAATGATCTGATATTCTGTTATTGTGGTAAACACAAACAGTACTGGTATTTTACTTGCTGTGTGTGAATCTGATTTAGACAGCTTCTTTTTGAGTTAATCAGCTTCGGGCATCTCATGCCTCAGTAATTAGCAGCATAAGCCTCCATATCTGTTTGGTCAGTGCCTTTCACACCAGGTTACATCCAGAAATAAGGTGGCATAGCTCCACGCATTCCATCATATTCATTACAGACTGGCATGAAACCAAGGGCAGAGAGATATTTCTTAAGAACGACAGATGCTAAATGCTAGTGGGTGGGTGTGTGTGTGTGTGAGAGAGAGAGAGAGAGAGAGAGAGAGAGAGAGAGAGAGAGTGAGTGAGTGTGTGTGTATGCTAGGCTGATTTGTGTCTTTGTGGAACAAGAGTTAAATCTGAATGAAAGGGTCTTTGCCTCTTTAACCCCATGTTTCCCTGCAGACACAATTAGACAAAATGCTAATTATGACTCACAAACAATAGCATTAATGCTCAGTTATTTAGTCTGATTTGATGATTCAATTGTAGCTGTTTAGTAGGATGACTGGCAGCTAAAAGCAGTATAAATGCTCACATCTTTGAAAATAAAATGTTGGCTGATAAGAAAAATATGCAAATGCAACACAAATTAGAAAAGAAAGGACAGTTGTGTCGTTTCTTGCCATTTTATCTTATTTGTTTTCATGGAACATCAACAATAAAAAAGGGGGGGGGGGACGCTTTGTTGAGGCTTGAAGTTCATTTTACAAATAATTAAACCAAAAATTATAAAACAAATAAAGTCTTTGAACAAGTTTCTGATATGCTGAGAGTATAATAAAAAATAAATTCAGCAGCTGACCATTACTCACCAGGATTATTGTTAGGATGGAGTCACGCTCTTCGAGGCTTCACGGTTTATGACTGCGGAAACAAACGATTAATGTTGTTTTTTACACACACTTCATAATAGGACAGAAAAAAAGTGATGGTTGGATGAGAACAATTCATGTGAAAGTGTGATGAGCACTGAAGTTCAGCATTGCTTAAATCCGCAAGAGATTTGTCATATTCACAAGGCCTCACATGTTATTTTTCTAGATACAAAACAACTGCGCTTATAATGGCAAAGGAGATTCTTATTCTTATAAGAGCTGATGTGAACCTAAATATTAAATCGCTATTCATTAGTTGAAAGGTTCAAATTACAAGAACACATTTAGCAAGCTTCCAAAACAAACATGTAGTCTTGAACTTCCCCTTTTTCTTCATTATTAAAAAATGTATTGCTAAATAATTTCTTGAAATTTTTATTTTGTGTTTTTTTTGAAAATGTAAAAAAATAATGTAAAAAATACTAAAAATAAAAAATACTAAATTTAAAACAAAAAACTGCACTACATGTTAAGTTTGGAATACGCAATTAAAAGTTTACATTTGATCTATGGAACAGACCATTATAATAAAAGCTAAACAGAAGGGGAAAAATTTCACATAGGTAAAAATATAATGAAATATGAATAACAATTAATTAAATATAATTAATTAAATAAACAAAATGGGAATATATATTTTTAAATATTATTAGGCCATAATATTTTTCTAATTATTTATGTGTTCAAGTTTTGATCTTTTGAATATTAAGTTCAACATAAGAAAACTTTCTGAATATTTACAATGTATGAATTAATTTAGTCATAAGTTTAAGTTCAAAATATTTGTATTTAGTATGTGCAAGAAAACTTACTTGATTTATTTAAAGAACATTTTCCCCATCGGATCTTATTTCATAGTCAATTCCATTCATAAGATATAAAATGTATTAAAAGAAATATATTAACCTAAAATATCCTTAATATGACCTGTATCACTGCTGTGTCATGCTATATTCATAGATCATACCACTTTTTCGCTAACAGACATTAAGTAGTGGTCTACTTTTCCAACAAGCAAATAACCAGCCATTGTAAACAGGAGAACAAACAAATCGCAGTCATAGTCTGCATCTCCTCCAGCGGGAGCCTAGCGAGCGGTTTTATCAGAGGGGATGTGGTGTGATTAGAGGAGACAAGTGCCCCCTGTGCTCCTCACTTTGTCTGTGCTGATGGGCCTGAGCCACATGGGAATGACTGCTCCTCGCCGCCCCTCCTCTAGCGCTTCCACCCCTGGAGTGATTCCTCCCCTTCCCCTCTCCGCTCTTTCCTTCACCCCTGAACGTCTGAGGGGACAGAAGCCCCACAGCGAGTGCTGTCACCAAACAGGGCAGTGTCGCTCACATAACCAGCGCTTTCTTCTCTTGCATTCTCTTTCTGTTAGTGTTATCTTTGTCTCTGCTCCTCTTTGTCGCTATTGGTTAGGAATTCATCCTTTTTCTCGTATATGTATTAAAAATAGAGAATATATGCAGTTTGAATCGCATATTAACACATTTCAGAACAATGAAAGAAATCAACACACTGCATAATATGTACTGTATATAAAGACGTAATTTGTTATTACATAGTTGTTATATAACTTTGGGGTGAGTAAGATGTTTTTTTTTTTAAGAAAGCAATGCTTCTATTCATCAAATTAATAAAAAAGTGTCAGTAAACATTTCTACATTGTTTCAGAACATTTCTTTTTAAAATAAATGCTGTTACTTTCAATTTTATATTCATCTAAGAATCTTGAAAAAATCCTGCATCACATTTTTTTTTAATATGCAAAAAATAAGAATGCTTTCTGAAGGATCATATAATTGCGGTTTAAAAATGTAGCTATGATAACACATGAATAAATTAATTTTTAAAATATATTAAAATAGAAAGCATTTCCTTTAATGATAATAATTTGAATAATATCCCACACTGTGTTTACTGTATTTTCAATCAAATTAATGCAGCATTAGTTAGTATAAGAGACAATGAAGATCAAAACCATAAAAAAAATCTTACTGAACCTTTGAATGGTAGCATATATAATTTTTATATGTATATTGATGAAAAATATATAATGATGTCTTTGCATTTCAAAAGATATAAAAAATTACATATTTTTGTTTTATTTGATTTTGTTTTGTATTTATATTACTTTTTTCTTTTACTTATTCGGAAACGTGTCAAGATTTCATAATGTATCAAGTACACTTAATTCAAATTACCACAAGGGGCGCTATCATGGGCACTACTGTTTTTTATTTATCTTGTTTGTTTTTTTTAAAGAGTGGCAGCAACAACAAAAAAAATGCCTGAAATGCATTATATAATTCAAGGGGTTCAGTCAACAGTACATTATAGCACTGCTCTAATTAAAGCTGCTTTTTAATTCCAGCTCTAATTATCAGAATATTCATCTCTCCTTCATCCAGCCAGTTTTGATATTGAACATTTCTGCATCTGCAGGGGGTTGATCTAGGTCAGTTCCCCTGTTCTCTCTCACTGACCCCAGAGCTCTACAGAGGAGCCGAGCTTCATTTATGAACTTGGTGAGGAGTTGCCAGTGAGCCAGAAAGTCACTTGGAGTCATTTTCAGCCCAAGCCTAATTACAACTCCGTCGTCTCTAAACCATTCCTCTTTTAAAGCCCACTTTAATAAATATTAACAAATGAATTAGAGCTAATGTTTTTGAATTAAGTGTCTGTGACCAGCCGTCATTAATAAGAACTCTAGAGCGCTTCACTCATGAGCTCATTACTGAATAACTCCTAATTTATTGCAAATTTCTTCCCTCTAATGGTTTCTTAAATGGCATTATAGAGAAGCATGCATGCTTTCTATTGAAAACAGCCGCAAACCAGATGGTAAAAAAGACATCGAAAATAAACAGAAACGCATGAATGAGCCCAGCTCGATTTTTCGTAATAGTGGTTCGATGCTGAGCAGAGCTGCCAGTGATCTCATACACTCCCTTGAGAGATCACCTAATCCGGACCAGCCTGCCAAAGGCCATCAGTAATATCTAGAATGAATGTGCTCTGTTTTGGTGCTGGAAGGGATATTGGGAGGGGGTGGTCTCGGTTTAACAGTGTTACAACTAGCGGTTGGTTGACTTATTAGTAGACTTATAGAGTAGGTGATTTCAAAGTGGGGGTTGCACGGGGGTGCTAGGAGGTCAGCAGAAATGGTAATTGTGTACAAAAAAATACATATATTTACACATTTTGTGAATATATACAAAATTTAACAATATATCAGACATATCACTTTATAATATAACAGTTACGTGGTCCATTGCAATGGGATCCTCATATTTGGGGGTCTTCTAAAGTAATTCTTAGTCTGGTCCCTCTTAGCAGGAGACTGACCTCATTACTGGGGAAAAATAAAAAATAATTATTTCTAGGCCTCTAAATCCTTGTGAGGGTCATATAACTTTTGCCCCTTTGTTGCTCAGTTTTCAGACTTTTTATTTACACTAAACAATCTGAGAATCAGAATTGGAATTTCAGTTTCTGCTGAAAACCAAGCCTTATTCAGGATGATTTACAAAACCAAAGGCACTATGATTGTCTATTTATGAATCAGTCCCATTAAGAAGGACCCACATAGATAAGATGTCTGAAGCTACAGTGTTTCTAACAGCCTCATTTCAAATTTTGCACAGTAACATGCAAAAACTTGCATAATATGTGAAAAATAAATGCATACATAACATCACACACTACTCTAGCCAGTTTTGAGAGGCCTCATTTATCATAGCTGGCATTTCAAAGGTGATTATTTTTTTAAGCAAGGCTGGAGAGAAAATCTACCGGTTATTGTTTCAGAAATCCCCATCAGGGTTTCAGAATTGTAGACTCAAAAGAACAAAGATTTAGAGAAGGGGTGAACATTTGTCCTTGCCATCACAGTCAATGAGGAAAGTTGCTTAGGATAAGTGGTGGGAGGAAAAAGGGCTTAGCAAGACCCACAGAACTCCAGGAAGATGAACATTTGATTTTAACCTAGCTAGAAATCTAATTTGACTTTGTATTTTACCTGAATTATAGATGAGACAGAATGACATACCAACCGACAAAATGATAGATAGTACAATAGATAGAATGATAGAACAATGGATGGATGGATGGATGGATAAAATAACAGACAGAATCATACAGTAGATAGAATGACAGACCAACAGACAGATACAGATAGATAGATAGATAGATAGATAGACAGACAGACAGACAGACAGACTGTACAACAGAACGATACATTGAATGACAGAACAATAGAATGATAGACAGACAGAACGATAGATAGAACTAACAATAGAAAGAATGATAGATAGAACTAACAATAGAAAGAATGATAGATAGAACGCTAGATAGGTTGATAGAATGATAGATAGAACAATAGAACGATAGGTAGAATGATAGAATGATAGAACGATAGACAGACAGACAGACAGATAGAACGATAGACGGACAGACGGACAGACGGATAGACGGATAGATGGATAGATAGATAGAACAACAGACAGACAGAATGATACAGTAGACAGATAGACAGACAGAGTAAACCAACAGTTAAAGAATGGTTACCTGAAGTCTCAGGGTGGCTGTAGATCTCAGATTCCAGGCATTCCCGAGTTCACAAGAACATGGATGTATATAAACAAACACACTGACAGTGTAAGTGATGGGCCGAGTGCTCACAACAGTAGCCAGTTTGTCACAAGTGACATCTTCATTCTGCTGCCGCGCACGAGAGCCAAGAGCTTCCACGCTCTCTCATCCATGAAGATGCAGCTTTCTTCCAAGTTGCTGACTTAATTTGCAGACTTGTCTTCTTTTGCAGACAGAGGAGCAGATCTCTACAGCTTCTTCAACAAACACTGGAAAATCAACACACACACACACACACACACACACACACACACATATATATATTATACAAATATATATTTGTAGGTAGTGTGAAAATTCAATTTGTTCTTTGTTTTAGTTTTTTTATGTTTCCTATGAAAGACATCAATATAAAAAAGTAATGGTGAGTTTAAAATCAGAAAATGTCACAATGTAAGATATAAAGTCATAATTACAAAAAAATGAGTCACAAGTGTGAGAAATAAAGTCACAGTTCAGATATAAAAGTAGCACTCTGATATACAATAAATATTTCACAGATAATAAGTCACAAATGTGAGATGAAGTCACAAATTTGCAACTGTGGAAAAAATGCAATTATAAATACAGTCACAGTTGTGATATATAAAAGTAACACTTTGATATATAATAAATATATCAAATAACAGGCTTCCATATTTTTTTGTATCTACTGAAAAAAGTTTTTCACGGTAACAAAGGCAATAAAAAGTTAGTGAGTGTATCATGTAAATGTAGTTTGTGATTCAGTAAAAAAAAAAGATGTAGGAGGAGTTTTAACAAGGGTTCACCCAAATATGAAAATTACCTCTTGATTTGCTCACCCTCAAGCCATCCTATAGGTGTATATGACTTTCTTCTTTCAGACTAATACAATCTGAGTTATATTAAAAAATGTCTTGGCACTTCCGAGCTTTATAATGGCAGTGCATGGTGGTCAAGATTTTGAAGTCCAAACAAGTACATTCATCAAACATAAAAGTGCTCAACAGGGCTCGGGGAGCTTAATAAAGGCCTTCTGAAGTGAACTGATGTGTTTATGAAAAAAGTATCCATATTTAAAATTGTATAAACCCTAATCCTAAACTCTAATCGCATTCACAAAAGAGTGGCGTTCCAGCAGATGACGTAGGACGTAGGCAGAGCCCAAGAGAGTGCTCACAAAGTTCTTCAGCTTATAAATAATATGAGATAAAAGCAAGCATTTTAAAACTGAGGGGAAAAACGGAGATCCAATTTTTCAGGGCCAGAACCACCAATTCTTCAACGAAACAAGACCAGGTCTGGCACCAGCACTTGTTTGGTTGAAAAAAAATAGACAAGACTATGTAAATAAAAGTCTAATTTTTCTGAGAAAGTATCTTGTTGTCTTTATTCTAATCAAATATTCTAATATCTTGTTGTCTTTATTCTCAGGCCTGATGGAGAAGGTCACACATGATGATAAATATGATGATCTCCACACTGTTTAAACATAAGGTGCTTTCAAGTCATGTCAGAAAGATAGTATTTATGAATGCCACCAAAGTTATTACAAATAAGAAACTCTGAACATTCTTTAAGCTCAGAATGATAAATTGTGGGTCTTCTCAGTGAGAAAACATGTCAGATGCAAATACTGTGTTTTGACTGTAAATTTGTTTTTCAAATCATTTACAATGTTGCATGTACAAAATACCATAATATTGTACAATTACGATATGTGAATATACAACAATTCAATTAATAGAACATTCATAAACTGAATAAAAACAAAAAGTAAAAAAAAACTTGCTTAAAAAAAGTTATCTGACGAAAGTGACTTGAATGCAAACAACTTCTCAAGAGGACTTGAACGCACCAATCCCACCAAATATTATTGTGAACAAATGTCAGTCCATTCCATCATTCAGTTACTGACAATATACGAGAAAAATCCTATTTATAGTCCTACAGTATTTATAAATCTAACCGCTTTACAGAGGCTCCAACAAAGAAAAATGCACTCACTATATGGAAATGAATCCAAACTGTTGTTGTAGAGTAATACAGAATCATAAACGAGTTGTTTATCATTTCGCAAGGCCGCATTCACAAAGCTTTACCCGCCTTTGCAAAATTGCTGTGGCAACATCACCATCATAATGAATACCAATAACTCTCTTCCCCTCTGTGATGAATATTACACCAAATTAATCTTCTTAAGGCGGCTCTCAATTACAGAACCGCATCACCCAAACAATGATTAATATGAACCTATTAGTATGAGCTGAGGTTCAGGATTATTAATGGCGGCTTTGCAGTAAAAAAAAAAAGAAGAAGAAGAAGTTTGGCTCACTCTCCAGCTGCAGATTCATGCCGTGGCAGGATAGGCTCCTCCAGCTGGGCAGTCTGGAGCAGGGCACCCCCTGGGGGACTGGAGGGCCAATTACGGAAGATAATGATTCATCACTGGTCCTAATAGAGCCCCCTCTCCTCCTGGTGACTAATTAGGAGAGTACGGCTCTCAGGGTGGAGGGAGCTGGGGATGAAGGGTATAAGCGGAGCACAAGGCCAAATTTGGGATGATTGCATGGAGGATGGCCGATCCCTCCCGGGCGGTGCATGCGAGCTCTCTATTACAGGACATAATTGATATTTTCATGAAAAATTAATGGCGGCTGAACGGCGACAGCCTCTTCATTTTCGCCAGCAGATGAATGAGTACAAGGGGAGGGACAAAACATGGCAGATGAACAAAGATCCATCAAGGGTCCGCATCCTTCGAAACCGCTGCGAGAGGGATCACCTTCCTCTGCACTAAGAATGAAGTTTGCGGACATTAAGAGGTTTTCTTGTTTCTATGGAGACAGAGTGGTAGGGATAGCATATCAATAGAGTAGACAGCAGATTTGGGAGAGATATTGCAGTCAGTCAAAATGTAGTATGTTAATACCACAATAGCTTATTATCACAAGCATGTTTTTGAAATGAATAATAGTACAGTATGTTGTGGGAAACATTGAAATATGTTAATATCCTACATAGTTTTTGTAAGATTATAATAAATGCTTTTTAAAATTTCATAAATGCTGTTCTTTTTTAAAGTAGTAAAAAAAAATTGTATTATGGTTTCCAAAAAACTGAAACAACTGTTATTTTCAACATTGATAATAATAAAAAATTTTTATTTATCTCCAAATCAGCATATTGAACTAAGGATCAGAAGGATCATGTGACACTGAAGACTGGAGTAATAATGCTGAAATTTCAGCTTTACCATCACAGGAATAAATTACACTTATAAATTACACTTACACTTATACACAAAATATATTAAAATAGCAAACAGTTATTTTAAATTGTAATAACAGTTCACAATAATACTCTTTCAACTGTATTTTTATGTGCACGGTCCTTATGTGCATGGTTTGACTTGTATGTACCCCTAAGTCTATTTGAAATAAAAAAATAAATAAAAAAATACTGTATTTTTATAAAATACAAATAAAATGCAGATATGATGAGCATATAAGAGACTTATTTAAAAAAAAATCAAACTTTTGAACAGTGGTCTACATATAAACATTATGCAATATTGTATGAAAAAGATTGATAATCAATTGTGCGAATCAATTAAGACAAAATGACTTGTGATCAGTTATGATTAGTTGTGAGTAATATTTGTAAAAAATAAAATATATTTACACAGAGTCCACAAATTAATGGAGAATCACCACATATTAATGTTTTAAATATCATTTATGTTTATTTATATATAACAATTATTTATTAATATTTCTTTAAAGGCATCTTTTCTGCAAGTACGATTTAAGGCCAAATAGTGTGAACATATAAACACTAGCCACAGAAAGTGAGAAAAAAACCATTAGCATAGCCTCAGGAATTAAAAAAAAAAAAAAGTCTCAACTGACCGCCACTCACTGGACATTTCACTTTGAAAGTGTCACAAAATGTGCAAGCAGCAACGCAATATCATTTTACAGAAATGTCGCCACAGGCACGTATTTGCAGTGTGCGGGGAATGATGAATTCAGTGGTTTTCAGTGCAGTTGTGGGCCTTTTCCCTCCCTTCTAAAAGTGCACTTATAACTTTATCCACTTCAAGGACACACAATTGGATTATGATCCCAGCACCAGAAAGAAATGAGGTAATAGAGGCCAAGGAGAAAAAAAAAAAGTCCTCATTATAGTGTGTATTCTAAATGGATCTAAATCACAAAGGGACTAAAGCGTATAGTTTGAATAGTGAGATCGGCAGCAACACTTAAGAGGACATTAAGTGAGCCAGTGAGTAAAGTGACAGCAATTCTAATCATACCAGATGCTCAAAAGCATTATGTATGAAATAGTGATACTATTCAATCATAGTCACAGAAAAATGGCATCTTTTAAACATGGAATCCTGCTAATGCCATTACATATAAACAGTGATTTAGATGATAATATGTTCACCAAAGTTACAACTAAACACCCCCGACCCCAAAACTGAGCATACATTAGAAATCATCTTCCACTCTCACCCACTCAAAACAAAAAAAACTCCAATTTAAAAACTCTCAGTTTTCACAATGAGTTGAATGTGTTCTGCTGCTGCTCATTTCAGTAATATTACTATCTTGTTTAATGTCTGCCTCTGAATCTCCCAGGGGACGAATGACTGTGCTTCACGAAGGAGTTTTTTTGTGGATGATTTGCATTTGATCCCTCACTGGAAATTCAAACAGCCAAATACATTTGCAGCTGGAGCGTGGTTCTCGGTTAGTTAACATTTGCAGTACTGAGGCAACAGAATAACAACTCAAAACAATGGCGCAGAGTGAAAGGCGAAATTGTTCAGGGTCTCTCTTCGAAGCCGTCAGCGGTCCACAATCGGTACAGCCAATTGCCTTTCTAAACTCTTGCCTCCCCTAAATTGTTGTCAAGGGTTTTGCAAAGTGATGCTCTCTGAAATTAAACAAGGAGAAGGAGAAAACAATCTCAAACTTTGGCTAATTTATCGGGAGGCTTCAATTACCTTGAGGAGCTAATTTTGTCTCCCCAATCATTGACTGAGAGATACTGCATGGTATAATTCATATGGAATAATTACATTGCCACGCTTTACGTGACAGTAATATGGAGTTGGAGTGATGGGGGCATCTTCCAGTCAGGGCGCAGAGAACAAACATATTCCCAGCAGGTCTAGTTAAAGCTGTAAAATTGAACTTAAGTTGTTATCATATTGCAAATAAGTGCAATAAGGTGCCCAAGATAGATGACTGTAAGCTAAGCAGGATCCAATTGTAAACAAAGCAATAATTTAGCATACTGAGAATGCAGCAGAAATAAGAGCCTCTGGCTGTTACAACATGCAGATACGAAGCGCTTGATTGGTTTAAAATGTGCCTTTGGTATTCTGGTCTCGCACAGAGCCAAGAAAAACACACTTGGATTGTCTCTCAAGGAGGTTTAATAATAATTCCTGGAGAGAGGTATCCATTAGGGATTCATATTCATCTCAATGGTACTCGCTCAGCGGGCGCATGACCTCCCTGAAGTTGAAATCTGTCATCTGTGTGCATATTGTTTTAAGCCAATCACCCAAATTGCAGGAAAATGACTTCATGATGGTTGATAGAGGAGCGATATTTGATATATTTGACATTTGATTTTTTATCCATATACAGTATGTGTATGTATAAGATAATCTATATATCCAATCAGTGTTGTTTTAGTATCAATAAGATACAATTAGTCTGTATTAATCTTTTGAAATAGTTTAGCTGGTATTAATTTTGTTGTGTATTTTGGGCATTTTTATTAGTAATCATTTGAAAAGTTCATTTGCAAAAACAGATAACTCCGTTTTTAACTATTTTCAAAAATCATGTTTTTTCATTGTGCATTCCAATTAATCTTAATCAAACTGCAGTTGGGTTATTTTGATTAAGTAAAAATAACAAAAAAAAAATACAGCTAACTACCACAATAAAAGCATAACAATAAAAAAAACATGATTTTTTACCATTTTTAAAAACAAAGTTATCTGATTTTGCAAATAAACTCTTCATTTGTAATACAACATCGTTTTTTTAATTAATTTTAATTTCAGTTTTAGATTTTATGTTAGTACATCAAGTTAAACAATGAAAATGAGAAATGATTGACTGAAACAACTAGCTGAAATAAAATCAGTTTTTTATAATTTTTCAAATAACATGTTTATGGGTTTAGTTTTAATTTTAGTTAACTTTTAGTATAATAATCCTGTATATAATATACATATATCTAGGGTTGGGTATCGTTTTTTTTTTTTTCTATACCGGTGCCAAATCTATACTTTTAAAAATGATGGATTGGCCATTAGCACTATAAACACATGATGTCTGTTTCATTCATACTGGACGCCAGAGGGCACCCTCACACAGAAAACACATCAGATCACAAAAGGAAGCATTTGACTGGTGTGGTGGAGTAAAAAGTTTATAATATAATATATTATAATATAAGGACAAATATTTCAATCGATCGCTCAGGCATGGCACCGAAATCTGCGTTCTGATTCGGTTCTAGTACATACTGGTTATATGGGTACCGGTGCCATATTGGTACCGGGTTTCGGTACCCAACCCTACATATATCCCTGTATCTAATAAATACATATTCCCTATAATTATTATTTTTTAAATTTAATTTAATATTTTTATTATTTTTTAATTTAACAATTAATGGCTTATTCTGAATGGCCATCACTGGAAAAAGATTATTTTTAAGAGTTAACTGAAAAAAAAAAAAGCATGCATGAATTTGTGCTCTTCTGTAAACAAGTTCGTCCTGAAGACTGTTTTACTGGATTTATTTGTAATGGCAGAAAGTGAACAAATGGTATTACTTGCTGTCAGCATCTTTAACGTTGGATTACCTTGGTTATGGTACTGTTAAAATTTCACCAATTTGGATCACAGAAGGAAAATTCTCAAGAGCCAACCAAAACACACAATGGAGCGCACACAAATGAAAGGAAATCCCAACCTTGCAACTATATTCTGAAGCGTTCAGCCAGTGACTTTGATGACATTTCACAAAATCAGAGAAAAGGTGGAGGACAGGTCTCTCTTCACCCACACTGCCTCACTTCCAATAACAGTCATGCCTCAAGATCGACTCCATGAAGGCCAGCAGCTGATGCAAAACCTTAGATTCAGTAAAGATACATTCTCCCAGTCTGTTCATACAGCATAATGCCACCAGGACCGGGAATTATTGCCACGATAAAATTCTGCGCAATATCACAGCCTTATTTCATTCTGTGTAATTAGGAGCAGAGAAGAAACATTCCTCATGCAGGAGCAGAAAATAACATCTCTATCTTTCCAGTTGATGAGATTTGCTTCTTATTAAGGGCAGTTTATTCTTCCACCGCTGAAAGGCATGAGGCACAGAACAATAAAGAAACATAATAGAAGAGGAGGATTATTGGAGATTCTTTCCTTCCCTTCTCCCATATCTAGTGTTAGGTGTCTGACTGCTATTGACCAGAGTTTATTAACTTCTGTAAGAGAAGGGAAGAAGAAATAACCTCAGGTAAAACCCAGGATTTATCTTCCTTTACAGAGTTTTCGTTACTGTCATACAGTCCCTATGCTGAGTTCCCAAATCGGGTTCCTTTTGAAGCAAGAAAACGGTTCCTATTGCCTGAGCAATAGTTCAGGACTTGGGTAAATTAAATTCAAGAGCACAGTGTTGCTAACACAAAAGTACCAAAAAATACCATAGTGTTATTATGTTTTGTTGTTGTTGTTGGATATATATGTGTATGCTGTTAAGGATTTGGTTGTTATTTCCTTTTATACTATTTATTTTTCAAATTTTTTGATATTCTTTAAATGATTTATTACGTTGTCCATTTTGAATGTGTATCATGTTTAATTGTTGGATTTTTGGGTTTTTATTAGTTTATACGTCTTGTGGTAACAAAGTCTTTTATTTTGACATTCATCCATGTAAGCGGATATTGCGGTGTGCTTAAAGCATTCTAGTAAGGAGCGCAGCTAAGACGCACATGGTCGATTCATTCAAAGGTTTACGGTTAAAGAGAACTTCAAGGATTTAGCTCCTGGTTTAAATGGAGAATAAGGTAAAATATTGACTTTGTTATCTGTATTGTTTTGGATTTCTTTTAATTTAGTAATGGTTATTTGTTTGTATGATGTTAGGTGTGTTAAATCGTTGTTGTATTTGTATTTGATGTATGTTTGTTTCAAGGTTTATTTATATTATGTTTTGTGTTTGTTTTCTTTATACAAAGCTCTTACGGTGATTTGTGATGTCTTATGGCATTTAACGGTGATTACCACAAATCTACGGTGACGGATCTTTAATAAAGCTCATTATGAATCATCAGTTGAAGAGTCCAACATTTTTTAAGCCAGGAAGCTACAGTAAGAGCTTACCATCGTCGATCCCTTGTGCTGCTCAATGAACGCCATGGATGGTGAAGGAACTTTAATGTTGGCGCGCTCGTTGGGGGCAGTGTGATTGTTCACTTAACGGATCAAGATTAAAGCGAAGTTTCAGCGAATGGACCGATTTAATGAACTGGTCGAGAGAAGATAACTGTTCCAAAGTGTTTGGTGGATGGCAGTGAGTACCAAAGACAAAAATTAATTAATTCTAAAGTGACAAATCTGTTCTCACTTGTTGTGCCTGATTTAAAGGTTAATGGACATTGCTGCGTGTGTAGTTTGCCTGTTAATGGATTAAAGTGTATTTTAATATTAGTTTCACATTTAAGAGTTAATGTTTTAGCACATGTGGTTAAAGTGAATTTGCTGAATGTACGTTAATTAACTTGAATGTTAAATGTGAATAGTGTTTCTAATTTTGGTGATTTGCAAATATAAGAGAAAATGTCGAAATCAGATGCAAGTGCAAAGGAGGCAGATAGGCAAATTAATAGCCATGATGCAGAAACTCAAAGTGAGAGTGTACGCTATTCAAAACGTAAGCACGTTCCTACTGAAAAAATGTTAGCCTATCAGCAAGAAGAGTCACAAAAGAAGGAGAAAAGGATTGTGTCTCTATATAATCAATGGAAAATAGAAGCCCGTAGCGCACGTGAGCATCTTAAATCAGATGCATTAGAAACTCAATTAGCTATTTTGGGCGAGACTTTGGAGACAGCTAAACATAAGGTTTTGTGTGCTTATGATGAATTTAGGCAGCATGTATCACCTACTATTGAAATGAGGAGAAAAATGGACGCGTGTGAAGCAGTTACAGCTGAAATCATTAAAACTGTTAATGAAAGAATAACGGGTGTAGATGGAGACTGATGGTAAAAGGGAGAAAAGGCGACTTCGTACCTTATTAGACCATCAATATGCCCGCTCAATCTTTGGTTCAACGGTATCACAATTTAGTCAGAAAACTAGTAACTCCAGCCACCGCTCTGTCATATCAAGTTTAGAAGCCAAACGTGTAGATGCTGCAGCAGAAGTAGCAGCCAAGCAAGCTGCATATAATGTTCTACTAGAAGAATCAAAGCAAAGAGAAATAATAAAACAGCTAGAAGAACAACATAAAAGAGCTCTTGATGTTGAGATAAAGGAATTAGAGCAAATTCAAGCGCAAAGAGATCTGAAGGCAGCTCAAACTAAACTTGAAATCTACAATCAAGAAACTGAGAAAGAAAAGACTAATTTGTCCAAAGATTGTAGCAGTTCAAATGGATCAGATTCAGATTTGTCTCTAGCAAGTATGAAAAAGCAAGAAATGTTTCAAAAGGTGCGTCACGACACCAAAACGGCAACAGTTGAAGCATCAGCGACTGATATACCTCTTCTCATTCAAGCATTTCAAGATGGCATGTCTATGAGCAAGCTGCCGGTGCCAGAACCTCCTGTTTTTACTGGTGACCCCATTCATTTTATTGAGTTTAAACAATCCTTTGTGGCACTTATTGACAAGAAAACCATCTCTTCTGCTGATAAGATGTTTTATCTCAAGAAATATGTGAGTGGTCCTGCTAGAAAAGCTTTAGAAGGAACTTTCTTCAGAACAGATGAAGAAGCCTATCAAGATGCATGGTGCAAACTGAACAATCGTTATGGTCAACCGTTCATGATACAAAAGGCGTTTAGAGAAAAGCTGGCAAGCTGGCCCAAGATTTACCCAAAGGATGCCATTGGTCTTCAGGCTTTCTCTGACATTTTAAATGCATGCCAGGGTGCCATGCCACATGTCAAACGTCTCCAAATTTTAAATGATTACCAAGAAAATCAGAAACTTGTGTTGAAATTACCTGATTGGGCAATCAGCAGATGGAACCGTCAAGTCACGCAATCTCTTTCTGAAAATCATGAGTATCCCACTTTTAAAGAATTTGCTGTATTTGTGTCCACTGAATCAGAGATTGCTTGTAATCCTGTTACTTCCTTTCACATTCTTTGTGCTGCAGAACCTGTCACTAAGAAGGCAAATCTGAAAGAGACCAAGAGAAACCGAGTTAGAGTTTTCACTACTCAATCGAACACAGAGAGTCGAAAAGTGATTAAATCTGTGAACAAAATTCTGTGTGTGCTTTGTCAGGAAGATAACCACCAACTTGACCGCTGTTTTAGTTTTCTCAGCAAACCATTGGAGGAGCGACGGAAATATGTCCAGGAAAGGAGGCTTTGCTATGGATGTTTAAAGCCTGGCCATAGCGCAAAGGAATGTTGCTGTCGTCCCACTTGCAACGTTTGTAAGAGAAGACATCCAACTAGTTTGCATGATGAGAACTTTGAGAAAACGATTAAGATTTTACCGTCTGCAGCTCTGTCTCAAGAGTGATCCTAATGATGCAACAAATGCAACGGCCCTGAATGTAACTGGAGAAGAGCGAAATACGTATACTTCAGTTATTGTACCTGTCTGGGTGTCCACAAAGCAGAATCCAGGTTATGAGAGATTGGTGTACGCACTTTTGGATTCACAGAGTGATACCACATTCATTGATAAAGGAGTGTGTGATGCTTTACAGACCACAACGTTTCCAGTGCAGCTGAAGCTCACCACCATGCTTGGAAAGGATGAGTGTCAGGACTTCAAGTTAGAGCATACAAATCCGGTAACTATATTGATTTGCCACCTACCTACACCAAAGACTGCATACCTGTTAATCGTAGCCACATTCCTACTCGTGAAGTCACTCAAAACTGGAATCATCTTACAGCCCTTGTGGGCAAGATACCTCCATTGCAGGACTGTGATGTTGCTCTCTTAATAGGATACAATTGTTCAAGGTCAATGGCTCCCCGAGAAGTAATAGTCGGAGGAGATGAGGAACCCTATGCCATTCGGACAGATTTAGGATGGAGTATAGTAGGTTGTTCTTCACCACATTCCGATATGTCTGCAGTTAGTAGATTGTGTCATCGCATTACGGTTAAGGAGCTCCCTTCTATCACACCAGGTGATGTAATTAGTGTCCTTGAAAGTGAGTTTAAAGACGCTGAAGAAGAGAGCACAAAGGTGTCCCAGGATGACATTCTCTTTCTTGAGAAATTAAAGGAAGGTATACAGAAGAATGTTCATGGCCATTACCAAATGTTTATACGTCTTGTGGTAACAAAGTCTTTTATTTTGACATTCATCCATGTAAGCGGATATTGCGGTGTGCTTAAAGCATTCTAGTAAGGAGCGCAGCTAAGATGCACATGGTCGATTCATTCAAAGGTTTATGGTTAAAGAGAACTTCAAGGATTTAGCTCCTGGTTTAAATGGAGAATAAGGTAAAATATTGACTTTGTTATCTGTATTGTTTTGTTTTTCTTTTAATGTAGTAATGGTTATTTGTTTGTATGATGTTAGGTGTGTTAAATCGTTGTTGTATTTGTATTTGATGTGTGTTTGTTTCAAGGTTTATTTATATTATGTTTTGTTTTTGTTTTCTTTATACAAAGCTCTTACGGTGATTCGTGATGTCTTACGGCATTTAACGGTGATTACTACAAATCTACGGTGACGGATCTTTAATAAAGCTCATTATGAATCATCAGTTGAAGAGTCCAACATTTTTTAAGCCAGGAAGCTACATATGCATGTATACGCACACACTTCAGTTAAAAACTTTGGGGTCTTTGGGTTTTTTTTATATATTTTTGAAAGTCTCTTATGCTTATAACCTTCTTTAAAATAAAAATATATATATTTTTTAAAGATTTTTCATGAAAACAAGATGCCAATAAAGAACCTTTATTTTTTAGAGGTAATGCTTCATTTATTTGATCAAAAATACAGTAAAAGCAGTAAAATTGTGAAATAAATATTATTGAAAACAGCCGGTTTCTATGTGAATATATTCAAAATTATAATAGTAATTTATTCCTGTTATGCAAAGCTGAATTTTCAGCAGCCTTTTACTCCACTTCAGTACTCCAACTTCACTTCAGTGTCACATGATCCTTCAGAAATCATTTTAATATGCTGATTTGGTGCTCAAAAAACATTTTTAATTATTTCCAATGTTTCCAACAGTTGTGATGCTTAATACTTTTGTAGAAACTGTTATTTCCAGGTTCAAGTTCAAAACAATAGCAATTATTTGAAACAGGAATTTTTTGTAACATTATAAATGTTTTTACGGTCAATTTTGATTCATTTAAATTACTAAATGTGATTTCGCACTGAAATTCCTCTACAAATGTGATAAATATTCACATCTAGCCAGTAAAATCCACCCTCAAACAATCAATCAATCATGTTTTCTGCAAATTCACAAACAATATTCCAGTCACAATATTTATCAGGCCACATTACCAGTAACGCAGCGCCGTTCCATGCATCCATCATGCAGTGAACGTGAGGCTGCACTTGCCCCTGGTAGTGGAGCACAGATGGACGGATTGATCCTCTAAAAGCAGGATCATCTACCTCCCACTGCTAATTGCTGATAGCCAGCAAAGTAATGAGTGATGAATTCCTGCCTTCAAGATTCTGCTGATTAAGCTGTCTGGAGTGTTGCAGAGGCAATACGTGTGACCAGAGATGATCACTCACGACCGCCTTCCTCTAGCTGACAAGTGTTTGAGCCGGCATAGTCCTCATACATCTATCATGGGTACAAAACACATTTTAGAAAAAGACGATGCTGTTTATATGTGTCTTTGAGTAGAGACGCTTATTTGGGGATACTTTTTCTCCCAAATGCCAAAAATTCGACTTACCTGACGGCCATTGCTTTCTGTTTGAGTTGTGAGGTCAAAGGTTAGATGCAAGTGCTCCTATGAGACAAAACACAGATTGAGTTTGCATTCTACAGGACCACAAGGTGTGACGCTAATTTGAATGGGAATCAGGAAGTCAGAAAAATGTATCTCCCTGTCATCTCCAATCCACCCTGGCACAACGTTCTGCCCCTCCGCAAAGGCGGCAGGGGGAAAATAAAACAACAACAGTTATTAATGAGGTGTTGTGCAAAGGGCGCGCATGCATTCATTTCCCGATAGCAAATCCACTTCCTTAATGGCATACACAATTACTTCAAGAGGCATTAATACACTGAACGTGAGCGCGAAGCTTCACTTTAGCATTTCTAAAGTGGAGAAGGCTTTTGGCTAGCGTGAGTGTCATCTTAAGAGCTCCTTGGCTGATTAGACCGCATACTTTAACCGTTCTGAAAACATCATCATAAAATTTCTAAATGTCCTCACCGAAGTATATGTTTGCGAGTGAGAAATTGGCTGAACAAGAACGAGAGCCAAATCAAGCCTGAGCTAATTGCTGTAACGCAGTCCTTAAAGTGTGACAGAATATATATTAATCTGCCTGATGAGAGTTCATTAATCAAGATCAGCATCTAAAGCCATTTTCCTCTCAGAGGAAATATGCAAATGGCCTCTAATTTAAATACACACCACAAAGCTAAAAGAAATGGACTTAATTTTCTAGCCAGTGCGTAAAGAATGACCGGCGACCGCGGTTCTAAATTGAGACACCAGCCGGGAATGATTGCTATATAGCTGAAGCCATATGTGGATGAAGTCCACAACATCCAGGCGGTCAAATCCACCTCAAAGGGAAGCTGTGAGATGGGGAACTAGCCTCACCAAAGCCTGCTAAACACAGGCAAAAGTATGAGAGTCACTCAGCCAGAACAAATATTAGCAGAGCTAAGTAATAATATTAGCAAATATAGTGGGATGCGCTTTAGCCCCTTATGTAACTAGAGCCTTAATTGCCTACAAAGCTTTTAAGATTACACTTTAGTACCTTCTAGATTCAAAGAAAGTGACTGTTCAATACAAGCAAAGAAGTGTCAAATCATGCCAAGTGAACATCAAGTTTAGCTAAACAGCCTTTGACTGTTGGCCAGTGTGAGTTATATTTTTAATATTATTGTGATTGTTTTGAATGCATCAGGTAGAAAGGGTTTGAAAAACCTAGATTTTTTTTTTTAAGAAAATGTAACATATAATGAAAAATATTTTTTCAGACATGAATAAAAATACACAAATTTAAACATTTATATACAGGGCCTAAAATTAACACTTGCCAAGCGCCAAATGTGACTAGCCAGTAAAAATCGGCGTTGGTGAGTATATGTAACAGTGTCAGTCACCAGTTGGCGGGTAAAACTTTTACGAAATATCAGGGTTGCCAACTCTCACGCATTTGGCGTGAGACACACACTTCCAGGCTCTGTCTCAGCTCTCACTCTGCCCATGTAAATCTCACGCCAAACTGGCAACCCTGCTTGCGATGTGAAACAAAGTATCAGCTTTCAAATTTTGTAAGTTTTAATACTAAATTCAAACAAAAAATACCGTTTTGAAGCACTTAATGTGGCGTAAATCGTAAAATGTAGCACTTCAGTTAAAGCCAGAGCTATTGAAAAACAGAGTTGCGACAAGCTTTGATCTCTCCAGCATCGCCACGCGGTCACGTGGTTCATAGAGCTCTCCAAACAAACCAACATTGACAATACATTTGAATGGGTTTAAGTAGGATAGACAACAGCTTCATTATACAGGTATTTGCAGCAATTTTTGGTAAACATTACAGCATATTATGCATTGATTATTACTTCGTTGACATTTACAGTATCATCTTTATTCTGGTTTTCTTAACCCTCAGGTATTGATTACTTATAATGTGACCATACAGCTTAACTATTTTTCAGTTAAATAAGTGTTGTATATTTTAGTTCAATAATATTTATTTAATATTTTGAGGAGATCTTTTGGTACTAAATACTATTTGTGCAATAATTATGGTCCATTAATATTTCTGTTACTTATATTACAATTAGTGTAGTATTTAAGGTTAAAATAGAGAAAGGGGTTTTAAATTCCTAAGCAAAGAGGCAAATTAGTAATTTTGTGGTAAGAAAAAAAATCATTTTCATTTGTAATGCCATGGTTTACCCACTAGGTACCTGTATGGCTCTTTACTAAATAAATCTAGAATATTGCAGGTCATACCCGCTTACTTATTTTTAAGTTCTTCATTTGAATAAATATTTAGACATGATTAAACACTAGATTTTTAAATGAGAAACTTGAAAGGCATTCAATCGAATATGAAAAATATTATTTTATTTTTTTATATAATTATAACTTTACATTTCAGAAAGAAAATTAACATTTAATGAAAATCACATTTCTTTTATATTTATAAAATAAATATTCATATGTAATATTACATTTTAATATGGAATTTTTTTTCTGACATATACAGTATATGAAAAAGTGCAAAAGTTGAATATTTTTTTATTTTTATTTTTTTGTAATCAATAACCTTGCAATTATCAGAGTAAATCGTCAATATTTCATGTAAACAGCTTTAATTTCAGTGTTTATTTGAGGGTGTCAAATCAGAACATGTTTGTGCTGCTCTAGCAAGTCTTAGCAAAATGTAATCAACTAGCTCATTCTGAATCGTAATATAATCCCTAAACCTCAGTGCTCTAGTGCACCTAAAGGCTCCGCCGCCAACGCTGAATAATAAGAGGTCTCCAATACGAGATCATACTTCGGACATGGACCCCCACCCCAGCAACTGCACACCCCCATGCTCAGGGTTCATTTCCTTTCCACATCCCGCGAAGGCTTTCAGAAAATAAATCTCAAGGACAATAGCTGCCATTAATTCACTTATTTACTGAGCGGGAAAAGCTAATCAAATTCTGCCGCTGCTATCCGTCCTTCATGCATTTGGCTCTCAAATTAACCTCTCAGTGGCCCTTTCTGTGACTGAAGAAATGCTGATATGCAACGTGCCCTCCTGGAAGCATCCCTCCACCGAGAAATACTCTACAAGGGCTGGTTTAACCTGATGACTTCAGTTTGAAATTGCTACAGATGAATGCCACTTGACTTATATTACTATATAAGTATATTTTACAAAAAATAAATTGCAAACGAGCACACTAGAAAAATAAGAGCTGCATTCAAGTGATATACCGCAAGTCCCTATTTTAATTAGTTTCCTGTGTCAACATTGATCAAAATTCTTTTCTATATGTAATCCTCAATTGATTGAACACTCTTCATGTGCTCTTGAGTCACTGCCATTAGAAAGTCTCCATTCCTATCTATCTATCAATCTATCGAGATTTCCCAATAAACTCACATAAACAAGCCCCCCAAAAAAGAAAACCAGTATTTGATGTGTCAACTTTTATCCGGTGCCACAGAACAGAAAAGGTGTAAGCGGCTTTGGTTACACCAGGACTGTAAGTCCATGCAGTTCCACCAAACCTCAGAAACATGAAAGGCCACATGTAATGTTAATTTAAATCTCCTCCTGCGTGTGAGCCCTGCTCTATCAACTTCTAACTACAGAAGCTTCTCTGAGACCTGATGCACAGGAACATCAGAGGACTGAAACTCTTTCCCCTAAGCAAGCCGAGAGAAATAGGCAGGGTGGAAATTGCATTCTCACCACTCCCTGCCAAGTGCATTTTCATATTTCCATCCCCTTATCATACGTCTTTGAAAGCCAGGAGAGTATGGGGGCCAGTTGTAGACTTTGCAGATCTCTGTTTGAAGCCTTCACAGCAGACTTCCTTAAATGGATCCAAAATGAGCCAAGAAAACCTTCATTGCTAGGTGTCCAAGGACCAATTTTGGATAGCTGATGAACGAGGACAATGTAGGGACACAGTATGTTTGGCTTGAGACAAAGTAACAAAACACACCCCACCATTTCTTTGATATCAGACTGTCAGATGCACAAGGCATATTAGTCCTCTTGGGGGTGGATGATATTTTATCCCCTTCAAAACAGAATATTAAAAGAAGCCTCAATGCTGGAAATTTGCTTTTGATAACTTGACTGGGGTTGTTATCTTGGCGAGCACAGTTGCCTCCAATCTGGCCCTTGGGGTATCATCATTTCTCACAAACAAGACCTCCAGTGATCTCTAACCAAAGACAGATGTGTCACTGTTCAGTTTGAACCATCAGACACCATGCAAAAGTTTAGCCATGTCATGTTCCTGACCCACAAATACACCGTATTACTGAAACCCAAATGATATGAAAAGTAATAAAACCATTTCAGAGTGCGGCAGGAGAGAAAGGTTGCTGGGTTGAATTCTCAGATGTGGTGCAACAAAGCTGCAAGTTTGTGTAATGTTTCTCTTCTTTCTCTACCAATGAAACTGTGCCGTCACCGAGGCAATTAAAGAGCAAGTTCACCCAAAAAAAAAAAATTCTGTCATAATTACTAACCTTCATTTTGTTCCAAATCCGGAAGACCTTCGTTAGTCTTCAGAACACAAATTAAGATATTTTTGATGAAATCTGAGAGCTTTCTGATCCTGCACAGACAGCAATGCAACAGACACGTTCAGGGCCCAAAAACGTAAGTACGTAAGTAAAGACATCGTTAAAATAGTCCATGTGACATCAGTGGTTCAAGCTTAAAGGGATAGTTCACCCAAAAATGAAAATACTGTCATTAATTACTCACCCTCATGTCGTTCTAAACCCGTAAGACATCCGTTCATCTTCGGAACACAAATTTTCTTTGCGTACAAAAAGTATTCTCGTTGCTTCGTAAAATTACGGTTGAACCCCTGATGTCACATGGATTATTTTACTGATCTCCTTGCTACGTTTCTGGACCTTGATCGTGGTAATTACATTGCTGTCTATGGGAGGGTCAGAGAGCTCTCAGAATTGATCAAAAATATCTTAATTTGTGTTCCGAAGATGAACGGAGGTCTTACGGGTTTAGAACGACATGAGGGTGAGTAATTAATGACGGAATTTTCATTTTTGGGTGAACTAACCCTTTAATTTTATGAAGCTACAAGAATACTTTTTGTGAGCAAGGTTAAACAAAAATAACGACTCAATTCAAAGATTTATTCTCTTCCGTGTCAGTCTTCACCGCCATTTACAATTCCACGAAGCATACGTGTGATGCTGGGCCTTGAACATGGAAGTTCCATTGCTGTCTATGGGAGGGTCAGCGAGCTCTCGGATTTTATCAAAAATATCTTAATTTGTGAAGATGAACAAAGGTCTTACGGCTTTGGAACGACAGGAGGGTGGGTGATTAACGACAGAATTTTCATTTTTAGGTGAACTCTCCCTTTAACCATTTGTTACTCATGGGGTGAT